CTTCAAAATCTTTATTTTTTATTCACCATACTATTTTTAAGGTTTTATTTATTTATTTTTGGAGAGATGGGAACGGAGAGGGGGAAACACCATGTACAAGAGAAACACTGATTGGTTGCCTCCTGCACACCCCCAACTGGGGAGTCAACCTGCAACCAGGCACGTGCCCTTACCGAGGAATCCAACCAGCAACCTTTTGGTTCGCAGGCTGGCATTCAATCCACTGAGGCACACCAGGCCAGGGCTATTCACCATATTTTGTGCTGACTTGCTGAAAAAGAAAAAATATATATAAAAAAGAAAAAAACTATCTCATATAATCTTCTGGGTCTTCTAGCTAAATCACTAATGCTTTGTAAAGGAACTGGATACAGCAACTGATGAAAACAGTAGCTTTTCTCTATTCTGGTAATAAGCACCTAAAAATACAGATGAGAAAATAAATATTCCATTTATAAGAGCAAAAAACAATTAAGTATTTACCAAGAAGTTAACAAAATAGGCACAGGATTCAGGTGAGTCAACATAACGTTCTACTGAAAGATACAAGACTTGAGCAAGGGAAAAGGATGGATTGCTGTGCAGACTTTTGCTGTCACAAGTGACTATCCATCTGAAAGAAAATAAAAGCGGGCCCCCATATTTTACTATAAAAAATAAATCATAGATGGACTTAGTACTTAAATATTTTGTACATGTGTGAATATACATGTACATGTATACATACTGCAGATATACATCGTAATTAAACATGTAATAATACATGTTTCACCTAGAGAGCTGGGGAAACATCTTTTTAACCAACACTAGAAACTCAAAAAGACAAAAAAGAGCCATATCTGAGTACATAAAGATTTACTAGTTATCAAGGAAATAACATGTCCAAGTAACAAAGACTAAAATTATACTCGTTAAAATATAAGAGATTTGATATTTCTGGCAGAAATATGAGGAAAGGTTATTCTCATTTACTGCAAATGGAAATGTGAAGCCCTTTTGAAAAACAATCTGACAACCTTTTCTTAAAAGTAAACACATTAGCCCCGTCTGGTGTGGCTCAGTGGTCTGAGTGCCAGCCTGCAAACCGAAAGGTCACTGGTTCAATTCCCAGTCAGGGCACACACCTGGGTTGTAGCCCAGGTCTCTGAGAGGCAACAGATCTACATTATCCCTCCCTCCCTTCCCTGCCTCTAAAAAATAAATAAATAAACTCTTGTTTTAAAAAAAGTAAAAATATTGGACTGGGTCATACATTTGCTCCTTTTTGTCAGGTTCAAATGATTAAACACTTAAAAATGCCATGTAGCCCTGGCTGGTGTAGCTCAGTGGATTGAGTACGGGCTGCGAACCAAAGTGTCGCAGGTTCAATTCCCAGTCACGGTACATGCCTGGGTTGCAGGCCATGACCCCAAGCAATCACATATTGATGTTTCTCTCCTTCTCCCTCTTTCTCCCTCCCTTCCCTCTCTAAAAATAAATAAATAAAATCTTTTTAAAAATGCCATGTAGTTCATCTAATGCACATAACTGTGCAAACTAGAGAAATGAAAGCACAAGTTCCTAAAGATGTTTATTTTAGCATCACTCTTTTTTAGTGTCCAAAAAAAAAAGTCTATTCAAGGGAGAGCACCAAAATAAGATTGTGATACACTGATGATATTCACGGATTATAAGACTTAAAGATAATAAACTGGTGAGGGGAACACTACAACAAGTATGATCACATTCATGCATTTAAAGCAAAAGAAATGTGCATTGTATAAAGAAAAAATATTTTTGTTGTTAGTTTTGCTTTTGATCTTATGGACTCTAAATAACTTTATTACTAATCACATCCAAATTCAAAAGGTTTTCATACTTAACTCCCAGGCCTTGCCATTTCCAGCATTTGTGAAGACCGAAAAGAACAGCCAACATTTAAACTTCCAACATTTGACTTCCTAACTCTGTCCTCTCTCCTCTCACTGGCTTTTCTTCCTGCCCTAGTATGTGTACAGCTGACTTCTTGGTAGCCCTTTAATCTTCACTCTTCTCTCCCACTATCGATTTCATCCACCCTGAAGAATTAGACAATGACCATGTAACACACACCTCCCAACCTATCCCTCCCCACAGATGGAGCCCTTTTGAAACACAATCTGACAACCTTTATTCCAGCTGACTGGGGCATAAATCCTCTTTACAGAATCTTATAACTCAGCATTATCTGGGAATATGTATGCCCTAGGACCCCAAATTTGTTTCTCTTCTTGCCCATAACTATCACTGATTCTACCATTTACCAACTTCAGTATCATGTTGGATTTAACTTCCTATCTCAGCTTTCATCTGCACTCTTTGATTCTATCTTCCATTACCTATCCAAAACCACTTTCAGCCATGCCTTCCCTTTCTACAGCTCCTATCACCAGTACTACAATAGTCTCAAAGTCTCCTAGTCACTTCCTTTTATCTTCTGACACCTAGACACAAAACATAACTCTGACTGTGTTATACATATTTTACTGCTACCTATTAGCTTCCACATTCACTCTAAACCTTTAAGCCAGGTATTTAAGTTCTCCAGTCTATGGTCTCAAAGTATCTATCTAGCCACACAGCACCTTCCTTAAATGTACCCTTCAGATGAAGACAGATGTTCCTTGACTTTTGATGGGGTTAGGATCCAATAAACCCATCATAAGGTGAAAATACTATTAAGTTGAAAATGCATTTCAATACACCCAACCTACTGAACATCATTATGTGCTCAGAAAACTTACATCAGTCTACAGTTGGGCAAAATCATCCCTCTGCCACGGTGCAGCATCACAGGTGTTTCAAGCCACATATTTATGGAGAAATATCAAATTCAAATTTCAAAGTACAGTTTCTACTGAAAGCCTCTGTTTTCACATCATTGTAAAGTTGAAAGTTTTTAACTTGAACAATCATAAACCAGGACCATCTGTATATCTGTATCATTCTAACATCCAACAAATTCCCACACTCCTGCTTTTTAGCTCTTTGTTCCAAATACAAGTGCTGAAATTCACCCATTCTTCTTCAAATGTCGTCTCCTTATAAGGCCTATTCAAATGCCAACATTAAAGATGGCTGCGTACTTTCCTTCTGTACCCCAAACACAGTATTTTCACTTTGTAAAATAGGTAGAATGTTTATGTTTTCTTTTGAAGGCTACTGCTTTTGCATAAATAAAAGTCATTTTAAATTCCCTGAGCTGCAGTTTTTTGTTCTGTTAAAAAAAAAAAAGTAAAATCTAATCTACAAACCTCATGGGTAGGCAGAAATGCATGAAAAAGCAGTTTATAATTTAAGTGTTAAAATTGTTATTGTATTACCTTTTATTATGCATATTTGTTTTTTCAACCACTACCAAACTATTAAACATTTAAAAGGCAGTCTGTTCTTTATAGCCTAACACCCAACACATAGTAGCTGTTCAAATATTTCTTTAAAACCTTCGTACGTCGTAAAATAACTCTCTGCTCCAGCATAAAAAATATAATCTAAGCACAATTTATATACCATTATGCCTTGATCAAAATAAAGCATCTAAAATAAGCCAGTCAGAGAAAGATAAATACCATATGATCTCACTCATATGTGGAATCTAATTAACAATCTGAACAAACAAGCAAAACAGAGACAAACTCATAGAGAGGTGGATGACAGCTAAGTGGAGAGGGGGTGGGGAGAGCTGGAGGGAGTGAGCAAAAAGGAAAAAGGACTTGTGGACATGGACAACAGTGTGGCAATGGCAGAAGAGAGTATGAGGGGACTAAATGGTAATGGGGAAAAATAAAAAATTTTTTAGAAAAAGCGTCTACAACCCTTCTCCCCACAGGCATCTCTTCAGGAAAACTACTATTACGTAACACATCTAGACCTCTGATTTAGTCCACCTGAAACACAGTTTAATGGTAGGTAGAGGGGGACCCTTTAGAATGGCTGATAAATAACTAAGTAGGTCAAAGTATTTGTTTGTGTGATTGTGATGGTGGTATTCTATCCAACCTAACAAATTTATCAAAGATCCATAGTTAAACATTAGTGCTTTAATTTACCATAAAATTCAGAAATTCTAAAGGCTAACATAATGGCTGTATCAGTGACATGAAACAACAGATTTTTTTTAAAAAGTAAATACATAAGAGAAGCATGTTAATTTTCATTAAGCTGAAAGATTTTTTCTCTTTTACAAAAGGAAAAATTAATTATGGACAATGATTACAAACATTTTTAAAAAATGGAAGAGAGAGTAGAAATGACTCTGGTCCTACAGAAATCTGTAAATAATAATGTAAGAGAACTTGGAAGTCTGTGAGTTACCACTGAAAACCATATAAGCCTGTAATAGCTTGTTAAAAAAGACAGCGACCTGCACCTGCTAGGGTGCTGTCTAAAGGACATGAAAACTACTTTTAAAGAGGCTATCACTAGCCAGAAATGGGACAATTTTTGAGAAAAATAGAGAAAAGTAACTCATCGATAGAGAAAAATAACTCAATGACCTCAAACACAAATGTGTTTAAATCCGTGAGGTTTTAAGATAAACCATTTTTATTGCAATTATGTCGTGCCGTTGGCTAGTATTTCTTGGCATTTTATTTCACAAAAAATTGCACTCATATCTGCTCTTAGATCTCCTATCTATACTCTCGTTCTTACTTGTAATTCATTTATAAAATCTAAAATTACAACTCTGCAAATCATTCCTGTTATAAATTTTAATCTACTATTGCTAACAGTGCCTGGAAAGGCTACCGTAGTCACTACTAAGGAACCTTCTTACTGAGAATTTAACTCAAAATTAATGGTCAAATGCCCAGAAGAAGTAGCAGCAAAATAAAAAGTCATGAGTAACTGGACTGTGTTATGCATCAAAACAGGTACAGACAAAAAAGGAAAATGAAGGGTTTGACAGGAATGATGAACAGCAGCTGATGAGAGAAGCAAACCACTTTGTGTGTTCATTTAACAACAACAAAAAAGCTCACCCTGTATGTGATGTTGCTGAGCTCCATAAACAAACATCGGGCAGCATGATGCAATAGAAAGAGTCCTGGACTGAGTCAGGAGGCCTCTGTTCTAGCCCAAGGCCTCAGTTTCCTCATCTGTAAAATGAGGGTGCTGAATTAGATAATCTGAAAGGGCTCCTCTAGCTTTAACGTTGAGGGATTCTATGAATTTAGGAAAAAGCAATAAAATGTAGGACTTTTGTTAACAGTGAAGTTTAACTGTTAACTTTGGAAACAGCAGGTGGAAAAACAGAGGAAAAGAATTTTCATAAAATTTTGAAATGCAAAAAGCAATTACCTTCTGACTCATAACTGCTGTAAAGGTTTTTATGCTATCCCAGCCTTAGTACCATTCTCTCACCTAAGATGGATTAGTTATGAGTGACCAAATTATGACCTGAAAAAAATGTATTCACCTTTGGCTAGCCAGACTGCTCGAGTCAACAGTACAGGAAACAGTACAGGAACACCTTTGGGCTAGTAATGATTTCACATGACAATGCATCTCATAACTGTCCTTGGCTAAGTAACTGAATCAAGAGTGAAATGACACACACAAAATTATTAAATTAAACAATTATTTAATATGCAATAAAGCAATAATTTTATTTGTGATATCCTTCTTTGCTAATGAGTGTATTTTTTCTATGCAATAATTTTTTCTGGTGAGGTCTCAAAACAGAACCTGGCTTCTGCTGACAACACAGCAACTGAAACAAATGATCCCCCTCCCCCAGTGACACACAGAAACATGGAAACGGGTGTCTGTGTCTGAGTTGCCATACTGACAGAAACCAAGCTTCTTATCAGTAACAAATAATAGAAATGCTCTGGTGCCTCAGAAAAAATGGTGATTTCCTAACTGTAATTTCCTAAATACAATTAGCTGCCTGGTTCTAGCTATTCCTCCAAGGTCTAACTGAATTGTAAGTTTTAAGTTCATAGGTCAGTTGATATTCTACTTTATACTTATTTATTTTTTGCTTATATTGATGCTAAGGTTCTGACCTGGCAGGCTTAAAATTCCAGGGACAAGAGAACCAATAAACATATCTCAATAACAAAAAAATCTATCAAAAGTCTATTCTATTAAAAGAAACAATAACTACATTTAAAAGACATAAAGAGTGGGCTGGAATGGGAGTAAAAGGGAGAAAACTGTACTTGAACAATGATTAAAATAAAATTTTAAAAAAGACATAAAGATATAATGAAACATTCAATAAAAAACTTGTTTTTAAAGCTTGTTTTATGCAAATTACCTAAGGGATTATAAAATAACTTGACATCCACACAATTTCATTAATTATTCATTTGAACATTTCACCTTGGCAATACAGTACCTAATATGTTATTCAGAATCACTAATAAAATTTCTCTGGTTGGTAGAAACAAAGGCAAAAATAAAACAGTCTTCATTGTAATGAAATTTGATCTTGGCTAGTCTAAAAATGTTTATGACATCCATGTGTGTCTGAGATACAAAGTGAAACAAATTTTTTCTTCATATTGAATATATTTTCCATTTTAATTTGGGTATTTTGATTCATCATCCTAATGAACTGATTAAAATAACCTTAAACTTAATGGCAAAAAACAGAATCAGGATAGATATGCAAAGCATACTTCAGGGCTCTATTTTGAGCACCAGCTGTTCTTAGCAGTTTTCTCCATGACTTTTCAGAGAGGCTTAAACATTACCTTACTAACTAATAAAGATACGTATGATAAGATAGTATTACTTGTGTTGTTTTCAGCCAATGATGCACAGTGTAAAACAAGTCCTGCAGAATGTAGGACTGAACTGGTCTTGGGTGAAACACTCTTCTCTAGGATGGCCTTGGCACTGAGATCAGCAGTTAAAGGAGAATGTGATGTTTAAAGTGACTAGTTGTCATGTCATGTGACACCCACCAGATTGTCCCTACTGAATTTCTATCTATAGAACATAAATACATTTGTAATTCTTTCCACCACTCATACAAATCACACAATTTTCTCAAAGACCAACACTCTAAAACATTGGTAATACAGAACTCCTGGAACAATACAAATGGCAAGAGCTGGGCACAACATAGCAGCCCATCTGCTTTGAGGAAGTTATAATACTTAGAAAAGGTGGTAATTCTTTTCATTAATGCAATATTACTAGGAAGATAAAAAAACCAAAGACCAAAATAAATCCAAATCTGACTATTTCAGGTTATTAGAAAAATACGAAGCCATTAAGGAATCAAGTGATTACACATACATTTTATTTTCTAAAATATATTAACTGCTTAGTTTTGTTGGAAGTTCTCATTTCAGGACTGGGGAAGAAAAACTGGCTATACAATTTTTAAGTGATTGAATTAATGGTTGAAATATCACATCTCATAATTACAATTTATATTTTAATTTTATTTTTTGCTCATTCTCGCCCACTTACAACTTATTCTGATGTGTACATTTTAAAAATTTAGCCTATCAGAATAGATTTCCTAAGAGTAAATTAAAGGAGAAAAAATGAATTACTGTTTTATAAAGGTTATAGTTAATATCGGATATTTTGTCCATGTTTTAATAGCACTGTGTTTGTGTCTCAGAACTTTATGAAAAAAACCCAAAATTTTGAAACAATGATTTTTGCTTTTCAACCCAACAACTCAGTAATATATTGTTAACCATATTCCCAAAATACAGATGATTTTTCAAAACAAATTCTAATCATCCAATCTGGCTAACAATTCCAGTATAAAAAATAAGCAATTGTCCTTCTCTGAAAAATGAATACATTACATTAAAAAAAAAAGTGTCCAAAGCTATACTTCATAAATGACAATTGGTCAACTAAAAAAAATGGAAAGAGAATCTAGTAATTTTCTCTAATAGCATTTTCAAAACTTGTTCAAAATAAGCAACCCCAGGGATTCCATCTCCCATTAATCATACTTGACTCTGAGCATATTCTAATTATGTATCCATTCCATCCCCTCAGCATACTCTAATTATGTATCCATTCCCTCAGAATTTATGTATTATAAATTATCTTAATGAGTCTTTGCTATGTCACTTTGAAGTAATCAAATTATCATGTGGATATGTTTTGTCTTACCTCTTTTATTGTTTATATTTCTGCATCATTCTGCACCCTACACTGTTCAGAGCTCCATGCACAGGCAGAGAAGTGGTAAACTCAAACTATTTTCAAATATAAAGAAATAATATCAAGTTTGATAAAAGCCACTGAAAACAACATATTAACAAGAAGAATCTGGTTTAGAGAAATATTACCTAGTAGTATCTTTATAATATTTTGCTATAAAAATTTACATACTGAAGAATTAAAAGAACTATACCAAAAATATGAACCCAGCCACCACCAAAGACCTTAAAATTAGCATTTCTTTGTATTGGTTTTGACACATCTATTAATTGGTCTCAATTTTTGGAGCATTTCAAAAGAAGCTGCAGACCTCAGTATAATTCTACCATATATTTTTCACCTTGCCTATCACTAACTATAGCAAAGTATTTAATATGGTTTTTCTTTAAAGAAAAAAAAAACTTTACACAAAATACAATGGATACATACTAGGTGTACCATTCAATGAGTTTTGACAAATGAATATGCTCAAGTAACCAAACTCCCTAACAGAACACAGGATATTATTACCACTGCCCTAAGAAGTTCCCAAGTGCCTTTTCCCACTCAATCCCTGTCCCCAAAACCCAGGCATCATTTCTAAGCCATGACAACTACTTTTTTTTTTGACAACACAATTTAGTTGTTTCCTCCACCCCATATTTTGAGCAGCTAAAATGTGCCTGTTGTTTTTTTAGGACATCGTATAAATGGAATTATACACTAATGTTCTGTTTTATGGATGGCTACTCAGCGTAGTGTTTTCAAAGTTTCTGCAGGCATTGATAAATAGTTTGCTCCTCTCCATTGCTCAGTAATATTCTGTTGTACTAATGTAGCACAGTTTACCTATTCTCATGCTGACAGACACCTAAACTGTTTCCGGGTTAGGGAACAACGCTGTATTTGGCAGCATTTAGACACAGTATTTGGTACCCTACTCTGTGGTTCTAGGATACCCTCCCTCTTCCTGCTGCTGACTCCTTACTCTGCAACTACTGTGTAGTTAGTTCTGAACTCCGCCTGATTTCCTCAAACCAGTGAGACTGCCAACAAGCCAGCAGGCGACTGTCCTCAGTCAAAACCATGAGGAAGCTCACCAAAGCCAGTCCAGTTTCTACTCATTTTTGCTTCTTCTACAGTGTCCTCATAATGGTTTTTGTTCATTTGTTATCCAGAGAGTGTGGTCATGGTTTGTAGATTTATCTGACAGGAGGCACTACTCCATTTTTTGAATTCTACCTTCCTGTTATTCTTCTGAGCATACTTGCTATAAAGACTGTAACTGACATACCTATTTGGGGCAGGGGTCCCTCAAAAGCTTGATTAAGTCAGTCCTTTCGATCCAAAAGAGCCAAACTAGACCAGGAAAAGATGCTTCTGGGTGCTGCTAAGTATGAAAGCTGAAGGACGGGAACCCTGTACTTCTGTGTATGAACCAGCAAAGCCCCAAGTTCATCCTAAGGTGTCTACGCAGAAACACACCCAAAGAAGCTAAGATTTCGAGAGCTAGAGATGTAAGTAAGCCACTGTGTACGTTCTACATTACTCCTGAGTGCTACCTGTGAGGTGAAAACCAAAGCAGCTTAGCAATAGCCTTGAAAAATGACCTAACATTGCAACCGCTGCCCACACTACAGTGAGACAGAACTTGTAGTCTCAACCCAACCATGCTGATCACCCGCTTTAATCAAAAGGAAAAATCATTCTCCCAAGAGGATATAATGAAAAATTACTCAACACACAACAATCATATACTAATCTGGATATGATCCAGGCATGAGAATTATCAAATACATTAAGGCAGCTACTTTATCCATCTTCCACAGGGTACAAGTATGCACTTGAAATAAAGTATAAAAATAAACAAATGGAAATTTTATAACTGAAAAATTAAGGGTGGGGAGAATGATTTAACGAGTTAATAAACATAAACAAAGGAGAGCAAACACTGAATAACTATCTTTCTGAATAAGAGAATGTAAGTAGGTAAGAAAAAATTCTAATTTCAATTAATTTTTCTCCTTATAGTTTGCTTCTTTAGTTCTTAACAGCAATGAAAAACACCCAGATATCTTAATCAAGATGCTTTAATCCCATTATTCCATCTCCTCCAGAGGTCCTGTGAAAGCTCTCATGATTCACCTTGGAAGAATATTCAGATTCTATATAATTTGTAGGACAGAATTTTTTTAAATGCTGAACTACAAATGAGGAGATCTGTTCAAGCCTTGGCTCCTGTAACTATGCGTGTGCGCACACACACACACACACACACTGTATGTTGGTGGTGGCAATGAGGTCTGCTCTGTTACATGGCAAGAAGATAGTGCAAAGTCTTTTTGAAATAAATATCCATCTTTACTATGGGTAGCACCAAAAACAAAAAAGGTAGATGGCTTATGAATTGTTTCAAAATAAATGCATTAACAAGTATTGATTTTTATGAAAGCCACTGTCAAAGAGACTCAGAGGTCAACTCAAAAAGGCTTCTTAGGCCAACACAATGTAAGCATCCATAAAATAAAGAGTAAAAACGACAATGCAATAAACATTTAAATCTACAAACTCATAATGACACCTTAAATAGTTCTCACTGGTCTACTTTTCCAGGATTCTAGGCAACAACTCAGTTCTTGAAAATTAGTAAAAAAGGAAAGAATCAAGTATTTCAGTGTGCCTCTCCTGTGGCAACTGTACCACAGGGCAAACCAAGCATCTAATGAGAGAATTTTGTTTGTAGAAAGGTTACAGATAATAAAGACTCGGCCCAACTACGATGTCAACATTCTGTACACTCATAGAAATAATGGATCAAGGAAATGGCCCACACTGACCACCTAGAATAACAAACAGACAACCAAACATTATGTGCTTCCTCATGGAACTACTTAGCACCACACCATCCCTCCCTCCCAAATAAAGCAAAAACGCCTGAATTAGATGAAACTTTTGCATCTACCAATTTACCAAAACATACAAGGTAAAGAGAGGCATTTTACTACAGGAATGCAGTTAATAAAATACTGAATGAAGAAACCTTATGGGTTGGGTTTTCTCTAAAGGAGAAAGATTTTTAATAAACAAAGAGCTAAATGCATAAGCTGCACATTTCAACCAAACATAATATATGAATTCTGTTGTGATGTTGTAAAAATATTATTTATGAGATGATGAGGAAACAAACTAAATGGATATATGGTGATATTAAGAGATTACTGTCATTACGTCCCAATCATTAGGATGTCCATTATTTAATAAAATAAAACTGAACAACCCATAGAAAATGGCAAGTATTGCCAAGAATGTAGAGAAATCAGAACCCATGTCCACTACTGTTGGGAATATACAATGGTGCAGCCACTTTGTAAAACAATATGGAGGTGCTTAAAAAGATTAAAACTACTACCATATGATACAGCAACCTCACTTCTGAGTATACAGCCAAAAGAATTGAAAGCAGGATCTGAAAGAGATACATGCACACCCATGTTCATCACAGCATCATTCACCACAGTCAAAGGTGTAAGCAACCCAAAAGTCCACTGACAACGAATAAAGGAAACATGACACATACATACAAAGTATTATTTGGCCTTTAGAAAGAGAGAAATGAAATCCTGTCATATGGTATAACATGCATGAACCTAGAGGACATTATGTTAAGTTATTCAAGCCAGGCACAAAGAAAAAATACTGTATGATTCCATTTATATGGGGTAGCTAAAGTAGACTCATAGCAATAAGCAGTGAACTGGTTGCTGCTAATGGTTGAGGGAGAGGGAGAATTGGGAGTGGCAGTTCAGTAGGTACAGAGTTTCAGTTTTGCAAGATGAAAAAGTTCTAGCAATCTGTTGTATAACAATGTAAATACAGTTAACACTACACATATGTGTACTAACTGCACACTTAAAATTGTTAAGATAAATTTTGTTTTTGCACTATAATTTTAAAAGTATATTTAAATTCCTTTTCAAATAAAAAATATTGCTAATTTTTAAAGTGTGATAATGGTGTGGTGGCACACATTTTTAAATAGTCCTTATCTTCCATAGATACATACTAAAACATTTATGAATGAAATCATGCACTTAAAGTGTTGGCTTCAAAATAATCAAGTGTGGAGGTGCCCCCCACAGGGGAATAGTAGCAAGATGGTTAATGAAAAACTGGTGACTACTGCAGCAAGGTGAGAGTTTATTAACCTATTCTCTCTACTTTCATGTACATTTGAAATTTTTCACAATATAAAGTTAAAGTAATAAACACACCTGTTGGCCAATGGGTTCTATTAATTCAATAAGGTAATTATAAAAAGGAGTACAAAACATTTTTATAGGAAGTAGCTGTAAATAATGACAATTTAAGGTGCAATTCAAGTTAAAATAACATACCTGGACAAGTGGTGAGTGGGATAAAAAACGAATGTTATGGATCCCTCATGGTTATTATATCAAGAGCGAAGCTGAGGGTGGGTGTGGGGGTACTAGAGTTAACTGTTCCCACAAAGCATTCCTTTATGGCATGTTCAGAGAACACACACAGCACAGGCATAATCCTAAACACTACAGCATTTCTCAGGTTCTCAGGAGAATCACCATATTGGACCAGTGTCTGTAAATTTACAAGTACTGCATGCCAGTGTGTAGAAGAAATGTCTTTCGTGTCCTCAGATGAATGCAAGCAAGTTTGTTGTTAATTTTGTCCTTCATCTCTAATACACACACATATATGGAACACTCATGAATAAACATACATTTCTGTGGTCATAACTTAGAAATGATTTTCAGGTATGTTCAACAAAATTGGCAAGTGTGAGATGATCTGATTTAAAACACAGTCTACGAGTTGTTTCCAAGACAAAGCAGCACACAGCCTATGTGAGCAGCACATTTCAAACTTCTCTTGAGGACAGGTGCATCACAGACACCAAAACCCTGTGCACCTGATGCTCAGAGCAGACGTGTCACGAATAGGTAAGACTCCAACAACTTAGTAAACTAACAGGTTTCAAATGTGAACTTCAAACAAAACACCAGAGGCAGATATTCCAAAAAGCCAAAGATGATTTACCATAGAGCTGCTTCTTACAATAGAAACTCTGTAGTGTTCCAAAAGAAAAAGAAAATAGTATATTTAATGAGTTAATGAGTCACCCAAGCACCCTAAAGAACCCAGCAAGTAATTCATAAATTAATTAAAAACCATGTAATACTTCAAGCTGGGTAAAGACAGAAAAAGATTCCTATTTTTCCCAACATTCCCCATGAGCTGCTGAAGGAGGGGGGAGGGGAGGGGACGGGGGAGAGAGCAGTAGTGGGGAGAGAAGGAGAGAGGGGACTGGAGGGGAGGGAGGTAGCGTGAGAGAGGTCATTACCCACCCTCCAACAAGAATTCAAAAGGTAGTTTAGACAAAGGAAATCCTCCCCTTATCAACATACTGACAAATCCATCTTTAAAATGAATCCTCTTCTAGGAATATTCCCACAGATAACTTATCTCACCCTGGTATCCAGGTTCTTGTTAATTTTTAGTTTTTATTTCATACTGATACATCTACTATCTCTCATAAACTTCTATCAACCTTAATCAGTTTCTATAGCTCCCTGATTTAATTTTTAAAGCAAAAATCTGATTAAGTAAAAATTATTTAAATTTTTGATGATGCACTATTTTGAAACAGATTTTGTTAAGTAATTAATTCTAAATAACAAAAAGTAAAATTATTTCTCCTGCTATTTACTGAGCTCCAAAATACGCAGCAATACAATTTAGGTAAGGAATTACTCTTTGTAAGGGAGAATCATTCTAATCTAAAATGAAAAGTGATGAGATCACTTAACCTATAGCTGGAGTAAACTTAATTTATTCCAATTCCATCATCGAATTTTATGAGTACTTGCCAAAAGTCATCCAAGACACATGCAAGAAAGAAAGCAAATTCTAACTCCTACAGAGTCCAGTGGTCTTTCTGCTATATAACACAGTGGACAGATTTTCATTCCACAAGGAAAGGCTTCTAAATGGTGAAACAGATAAAAATGTTTCTCCCAAAAATTATTCACTAGCTAAAAATAGGCAGAATTTCAGCCATTTAAATCCCCATTAAGTATAAATATTAGGATTAAATGCAACATGCAAAATTAGACTATTATAGTAAGATGACGGACAGACACACAAACTATTACTCCGCTAAAAACATTAAGTTCATCATGAAAATTCTATTCACATGTAATCTACCTGGTAAAATACAGGAATATCACTACATAATAATACTCTTCATCGGGATAACTATAACCAAGAGGTTTTAAAACCTATAGATAGTGGAAATATTCAAACTAAGGACTTGCCTTTTCATTTTTTAATACTAAATATTCAAAAAAATATGTTAAGTACCTCAAATTATATATTTTTAAAAAGCATTTCTTTAGGAACACATGTATATTTTGTGAGAAACTTTCAAAATCCTTAACAGAGTCTTTAAAATAAGTGAACGCTAAAAGGAGCAATGAAAGTACTCTAACATTCGGAGTGGGGAGAATTCTTACCATTGGCAGTGCATTGATGTGGGGATGTACAACTGAATATCCGGTGCCACCAATCACAAGTTGCTGTTGCTGATGCTGAGAAAAAGGAAAGTAAAATATTCAGTGTGCCCTAAGACAAATTCAGTTTAAAAGATTCTTCATGCCAAATTCTACATGCATGAAACAGTCTTCATTTATGTCTGTATGGTCTCCACCAGTGACTATGTTTCTCCCCCTAAGCAATTGTTATAAACAACAGCAGCAACTTCTGAGTGCATAACATGTGGCAGGCACTGAATCTTTGTAACATTCCTAACAGAGGGATGCAACGAACAAAACGAGACTCGAGAAATAAATTTGCACTAACTGACCCACATTCAACTTGACTTGGGCAAATATTACTGTAAAAGTGCCCAGTATGTTAATAATCTACAATTGTGAACCATGAAGAATGGTATTAAACTTATATTCTCTATATTCTGTTTAATAATAAAGAGAAATACATGACTGGTATCTAAAACCATTTCAATCAAAACTTACTAAACTTTAATCTCTTCAGAGTTTGCATTTTAGAGTTAATCCCGTCTTTTCTGCTAAGTCACAGCATATGACTTCCCATGAACCTCTTCTGTAAATATGCACACACCGGCGGTTTCCCGCACACCCTGTCAGCATGGAAACTGCGAGAGAGAATGGAGTCCACCATGTGCCAGGGCAGAGCACCATCTTCTGTCAAGCACAGGCTGATGCCACAGAGAGGGGCGCAGGAGCTGTACCTCAGACACTCACGTATGCTACAGTCAAGTCAGTCAGGAAACACTACGAAGATAACTGAGCAAATACACTGAATAACTGCAGACTCAATTTAGTCCCTTCAAGTTTGCTCCCTTCGGGTGTTATCTTTACTGAAACTTTCATTGGTGCTGCTTGCCAACTCCATGGCCATACAATGACTCTTGTGCTATTATGTATTTTAAGTGATAAGGAAATCTAGAAATTAAAGTAACATTTATTGACTCTGTCACAGACTTAGCTGAAATTACAGATGGCTGCATCAACATATAATATCCCACCAGCCTTTGATGTTTCAAGACAGAGGAAGGAGCCCCACAGGTTTTTGTTAGAAGACACTCATGAGGTAGCTGGCAGATCCTTTCTAACGCCTACTGAAGAAAGGTTCTGTAGATATCCTGATTTAGTTCCACTACAAATTAGATTACTGCTAGGCTGTTTACCTCACGGTCATTTGTTATGAACATCAATTATTTTACTATAAAATTTTCGTTAGTTTTTAAGCTATAAACCAGAGAGGGCAACTTGTTATCCAAAAACTGACAGATCACCCTTATCAGAAAGAAGTTTGGTCATACATTTATTCTACTTATTTATAAATAATTAATATATGCTACTGAATTATGTACATTGTGAAATACACAAAACCAATTTTTAAATAAAGGTCATTTATTTAGAAAGCTATAATACTGTTTTAAAACATTCTAGTTTCTTGACTTTTAAACGTCTTTTATGTCATGATGGTTTTGTATCATTATTAACTAAAATCCCCAAATACAATTTACTCTTTCAGCAAGGCTCGTCAATACCAAGAGTGAATGCATGCCTGTGTGTCAAGTATCTTTCTAGATAATCTCTACATTTTTTATCCATCTTCTAAAATGATCAGAACATGGCAGGGGAAAAACTCCTACTAGTTTGTATCAGGTCTACCATCTTCTTGTTTCCTATTCTTAGGAAAGAAGATTATTTCTCATACTCAGTTTCTTTGTAGCAATCTTTAAGTGATTAGTGTTATTTGTGGAGCTTGTTTAAAACTAGGTAATATAACCCATAAATCTACAGATTCAAACACAACTAAACTTACAGTATAGTAAGCTTACATATGAGGAGGAACCCCCCCAAAAGCTGGAATTTATTTAGAAAACTGTGTATGTTTAAACCTCAGTCACCTTCAAAGTACATTCCATCCGATGCAATACACTCATCAAGATGTTTTTCTACTGCTCAAAACAGTTTTTGAACTAGTTGATTTTGATGCCTTTTAGTGCTTCTGCTGCTTTTTGTTTCACATTTTTCACATCAGCAAAATGTTTCCCTTTGAGGACTTTTTTCATTACGGGAAACAAAAAGGTCACTGGGGCAAGATCAGGTAAATACAGAGGGTAGGGTATGGGGGTAAAGCTGTTTTGGGCAGGTGTGCTGGTAAGTCACCCATCATGAAATGGACAAGTGTGTTCAAAGAGTCTTCAAAAAAACTCACTAAGGCCGAATGCGGCCTCTCACAACAAGGCCAGCTGGTACACTGATACAGGTGGCTTCCCAGAACACTCACCTACTGGCGGAAGCCTGTGCTACAAAGGGACCAGCCCTCCAGAAGGTAATTCTGGGAGTTTTGGGCACCCCTCCCCCACCCTGTGCACAGCAATTCCTAGAAATGGAACAAGTGAATGGGCGTGCCACTGTGGCTTTGTGGGACACTCCGCCTTCTGAAAACCATTCTGTACCCTATGTTATACATAGCTTTGGCATTACAGGCAAATAAGGGCACAAATGTGAACATCTACACTGCAATAAAGAATTTTTAAATCTAAAATGAACATAAGTAGACTAATACAGCACTGTACCCCAATGGATACTTGTTTTCACCACTGGGATGTATTCATACACAACATACAAACTCACAGATCTACCTTTGAAAAAGATAAAATTAGATCATTCCAACTGTTAGACTTTTTCCTCCTCTTCCTGGTTGTCTTCTCTTAATTTACCATAGCCAGCGAATCTTTCTCTTATCACCCTCGTATGTGTCTCAAATCCCATTTTCTCTGTCTTTTCTCCACCCTTGTTTTCTTTATTCACTCACTTAACTTTTCCCATTAGACTGTGGCCCTTAAGAGAAAAATCACAACAGTGGTTTGATAAATGTTTAGGTAGTAAAATAAATATTTGATTCTAGGATTTGAAGGGTGAATTAATCCATGGAAAAGGATGTGTCAACAGGTCTGCCCATTTGTACATATAATACAATCTGGAACACTGAAGAACTGCTAAAGAAACAAACATGTGCAGGGTTGTATTTTGGATTCTATTTTACATATTTTTCTATTTGACTCACATACCTATGCACCAGCCATTGTGAGTGTATTTATAAAGCATGCCACACAATTCTTCATCTTATAAAATGAACATATGGATTTTAAAAGAGATAATTATGTATTTTACAAAAGAATTATAAAAGCCTAAGGCGTACTTAAGATAATCTGACAGAATGTACCGTGTTTTTCAGACTATAAGACGCACCCCCCTCCCAAATTTGGGGGGTGGGGTGTGTCTTATAGTCCAAATGTAGCTTACCTGTCTCACTGTGGTGATGGGCAAGGGGGGCAGCCTATGTTATTTATGTTATTAAGTACTTTACCACATTTTTTTGCTTCAAAATTTGTTTTCCTATTTTCCTCCTCTAAAACCTAGGTGCGTCTTATAGTCCGGTGCATCCTACAGTCTAAAAAACTTGGTATGTTAAAACCATTAGCACTGAAGTAATTCAAGTTGTCCAAAAACTAAAATCATGTGTATCCTTTGCACCTGCCTTTAACCTTGCTTGCTAAAAGACTCTCTACTCTCCTCAGAGCAGATCATCCTCTCTCCCTGTTCTCTGCACTCTGGCTGCCATGACATTGCTCATTCCTATGCCAGAAATGTGCTCCTACTGTGGTTCTGCCCACCAAGATTCAGCCCAAATGAGCTTCCTCCCTGGACTGTGCACTCCACCTTCTGGGGAAGAGAAATCTGCGTCTCTCTCACCACAACTCTGTAATGCCTTATTCTCTCATCATGCCTCCCCTTCTCAGTCTCCTGGAGACCAGGGACTCATCTGTTCATCTGGCTGACCCATCTCAGGACTAAGAATAGTGCCTTAAACATTTAGAGTTCTTAAGATATGTATGTTTATGAAGTGTAAAATCTACGCACAACAGAAATAAGTACATACATATTTGAAAATAAAACATAGTAGAGAATGAAGTGTAGCACAAATAAATCATATTGGTTAGGAAGAACTACAACTTTTTTTAATTTTAAAATTGCTTAGGAGAGCCTAGCTACACCAGGAACTGACCAATAAAGACTGACCTTTTGCCATCAAAACAAACAAAAAAACCACCTCACTGTCTTATATAAAATCAGCATAAAACTATCAACTAATTTGTTCTACATACATTAAACCTATGTGCTTGCTTTCTTGTAATGAAATAAATGTTTGTAGGTTTTGGTTTTATCTCCAAACAAAAAGCTTTGTTTTTGGAATCTGTATTTCAGAACATTTTACCTAAAATAAAAGAAGTTCTAATTTTAGAAAAGGCTTTAGGCATAAAACAGACACTGCTGACTCAGTAGTCATCTTCTAAAATCTACCATCTACACATAATTAGGATTGTTTAATATGCAAAAATCCTATAAAATAGTTCAATGGTATATTTTGACTGATCTTCAGAAATACTACCCTGAAGTCTTTAGGAGTAAACTTATTTGATTTGTAGATCTCTTTGAAAAGCTAATGAAGTATAGGCCCTTTTCCTGAGAAAAGGTACAAATAGAAAAGTTGTCTATAATTTACAGTTCCAACATAATCTATTACAGAACCTAATGGCCAGTAACAAATTCAAGAAGGTATACTTGGTATCCTTAAGAAATAAAAAGTTCAAATGAATTGTTTAGATTTGGAAAATCATCCCCCCAAATTAAAAGAAAAACATAATGATCCTACCATAACTAATGGGCTTTGAAACATTTCTTATTAAGTGAACTTGTAGGCAAAAAAAGTGTCACAGATAATGTCCAAACTAAATTGCTTAGCACACGATTAGAAGTAAAATAAACAGTGATTACCTTCAACTGGAACTAAAAAAAGAATGTATTTGAAAATAGAAGTTTCAATGGAATTTTCTCAATTCCATTGATCCATTTCACAAGTCTTTCATTAATGGCCTTCTTCAACATGGCAACCTCTAGTATCATACTATGTATTCATCAAAGCCTCTAAACTTGAGTCTAAAAGCATTATATACTGAACTCTCCTAAAC